GTTAATCGAAAGGCCAAGTACTCCGACTTCCGACAATAGGCGAACGCGCTCGACACAGTTTATATTCGCGCGATAAAAGAGAATGCAGGTCTCGTACTAATACACATCCCTGTGCGACCAATTTTCAGACAGAAGGCGGACGTTGTCTCTGTATCAGTGCACCGAGCCAGGTGACATCGACCTGACCGGTACCTGAAATCGATTTCCCGGCGGGGTGTCAAATTGCACGCTGTCGAGCCCACGCAACGGTGCATTTAACTCCAAGATGATCGATGAATGTTCAACTGCGTTCAGACGAGCAGAAAATGATGCCCTTGGAATTTGTCGCGATAACCCAGCTATCCGTGAATAATGAATTCGTTGATGCTTTTGTTAGTACTTATATACTTATCATGTTTAGAATATACCTGTCACCATTCTATTTTTCTGTCTCCTGTCTTCTAAGTTTTTACGCTCAATTTTCATATCACTTACAACGTTATCAACAGATTATGGAAAGTCAGAAGGATCACTACAGTAGGAAATACAGTAATGTATTGTTAAAATGATTAAATTCTGATTAATAAATGAATAGAAACGAATTTTGACATTTTCATTTCACCTTAACCAGATGACCAACTGATCAATCCAAGGTGGATGAATACTTGAAATTAGTGGTCAACTGGTCATCTCCTTTGAAATACCCATTGTGCTTAGCTTTCTTCTCGTTCTAACTTTGTAACGCGAATTAGAGTTAGAGTCTTAGTCGTAATCGTATAAAATCTCTACCGATATTTTCTCTTTATAATAGAGTGGTAATTCATATGGGAGGGGCGCAGTGGGGATTGACCATTGCACGAGTCTTGGATGTAGTCACCTCCACGCGGTGAGACCTGGGTCGGTAGCGCTTCCCAAGTTCAATCTTTGGAAACGGTATCAAGCCAAAGACTCTGTACCTCAAATTGTATATTGATTTTTCAATAATTTTATGCATGTGTTGTTGAATATTACGACGGAGTGAAAAAGATATCCGATTCAATTTTGCTAAGAATAAGAAACGAATGGTTGCTAGATATATATAGGAATTTTCGAAACGGGAAACGCTCGGGATTTGATCGAAAAATCCTTGGACATATTTTACGGGAAACGTATCCAATGGTTCTGTTTTATGATATCGCGCATTTATTTCCGGCGAATTGTGGAACGTGAAACTGCTCGTACATAACCGTGATGATCGATGAACGTTTTCGACCACGCTCCTGTAATTTGGCGGTCAGAGGCTGTTTGGTGCTCGATGCACTTCCTGCGATCGATACATCGATAATTACAGTGACGAGTTTGAAAATGCACTGCGCCGGTATCGTGCGGTAATGGAAAAACACACGCGGAACGCGAGGCGATTGGAAAAGAGTGTCGGGGAGAGAATCAACTGGAGTGATTCAAGACTACACATGTAGTTAATCAAGTATACATAATGATCTTCTTAAAACTGGTATTACGCTTTGAGACTTTACACTCTCTCCTTATTTTTCATTACGTTACACTTTCATGTTCCTAAATCAAAAAAGTTTCTTAATCAGAAACGTGTAAAATCCATTTGTAAATTAATTTTATTTGAAAGGAACGTTTTTACTAAAAGTCCTGTTAAGAGTACCAAATGTTTAATTCCTAAAATCTGAGCTTTCGTAATGCGTAGTTATAATTCTGATGCAAAATGGTGAATGCTTTAATAAAATCCAGATAACTTGTCTAGATGGTTGACGTATGTATCTCATACGATGCCAGATGCATTTGGTAGTGATAGAGCACCTGGCCCGACGACGAAGCGGCAAGCCTGTGCATGCGGAAATTTGGCGCCGAGCTGGTTTAATTCCCAATTGCAAAGTTGCGAGGTAAAAACAAAGTGTAGCTGTGCCGTTGCATCCTCGTCGACTGCTATTTATTATCGCGATAATTCTCTCGAGTCGGGAATCTCGTTGTAACGTTGCGAATAAGCTTTACGTCTGCTGATAGGTTTTTCCTTTTTATTTTCCCATTCTAAGCAACGTTAATTGCACGCGTGAAACATAGTTCCGGGTTTTAAATGCGAAAATGAGAACTGGTCTCCAGCACTCGTACTCGATCTTCAACCTCTTTTAATTACAGCAACACGCTCTTCCGTTAGTTTCCATATGGTTAATTCCGTCGAGGGTGAGAAAAGGGTCGCGTGAAACACGTCTGTAAAATGGCACAAATGTCGAAGCAGAAATGTCGGAGACTGTGCCAGACGGATATCCAAGATATACGAGTTTCGAAATGGAGCGCGTTCGCAAGCTCGTGTTCGCAGTAACCGAAGTGAAACTTATTTCGTGGATCAACGACGATTTCCAAAGTCCCCTCGATGAACTTAAACTTTTAACGAGACATCAGAACGATTCATAAATACGTTAAATCCCTGTCGTCGTTGCGGCGCGACGCGTCCCTGTCTATTCCGTGAAATCGACAGATAGCGAATATGAACGAGCATCGTACAACTTCGATTACCAAATTTCCAAGCACATTTATCCAGCACTCATCAAATTACACGAACTCTCCACATTGCTGCAGTCTGCACTTACGTATGTAATACGCGCAATCACCTAGTTAAATAAACAATTGTGTTTACTCGATAGCCGACACAAATTTCGTTAACGATATTCCGGTGCTGATAACGCCAGAACGCGATGAAACTCGGATATTCGGTTAATAATTCCGTGCGCACGATCTGATCAACAATTTCTCGCGTTGGCCAATCATCGTTTCTCAAACGAGTCTCGTAAATATCACGCGAGAAAGCATATCCCGTCACTCCTATCGCATTCTCCTATCCCTTTTTAACCGTTTCCCGGTTGAATTTTTATACCCGACCTTTACGCTTGACGATACCCCGGAAGAACTTGCATCGGGCACATAAAAAGCTACGAGCACCTTGGGAGTAGAACGTGCTACCGAATTGGAGCATCGAAGAAGCATCGGTGCTTTAAAATAGGAACAGCAGGCTTCTACTTAAAGTTTATCATACTCTTACTAATTCTGAATATTTGTCAAGCGGCTGTATTCACCGAAACGCGCTAATTAAAAAATAGATGTATGAGCTGATACGGGAACTTTGTTTCATTTAGAGTATGCAACTTTTTCATCACCGGTGATCACCGAGTCTCGCTGTACAAAAGTTAATTTGTAAGAAATGTGGAAAACGATGCAAAAAGCGTGTCGGCACGAGTCTCCGGTATTCCTTTGCTTGTTTCCTCCGGGGAACAATTTTTATTTTCTCATTCCATGGGGGACGCGACTCTGTAGACGATGTGTACAAAAAGGATTAAAGAAAAATACGGTGGAATATTGAATTATTACGTTTGCGATTGTACCGGCGACCTCGGCGAACAGGAATTCAAAGTTAATGAATAAATAAAATGCCGCCTTTTCTTCCTCGCGATCAATGAAATTCTGATGGAAATTCAACTGGTCAAACCAATTGATTCTTTGCGGTATTGAAAGCGCACAGAGAACCTGGAATCTATTCCGGTGAATTAGTATGCAGGCTGCAAAGACAAACAGAAATATGAAAACAATACGTGTATCAAGACAATACGTACTCGTAGTTGCTTGAAAAGAAGAAACTACACATTCAGTGTATTGACGATGATAAACCTTTGTGCTCAAATTGAATCTTATTCAATTGTGATACACAATTAATACTGCGGATTTTTATGCAAAATGAAATATTCATGTCATCAATTCAGAAAATATGATTTAAACAAAAGTTTCTTTCATCATGTAGAGACTGGATTTTCTGATATTTCATATAATACAATAGATTACATTTCTCTTTTATATTTTATACAGATTTCTCTCTAAACAGATAAAATCCGAAGTCTTATTCTAAGCCATAAAAAATTGCTGCTAACCGCCTCGAAAGTTTAGTCATTATTTCTGCAAAATTTCTACTCATTGGTAAAAGTATCTTGGAAAATTAGCAGCCTCTAGAGTACGCGTACTGTAGAAACATGAATGGTTGGGGAGAAAAGAGTCTTTAAATATTACAGGCTAATTGACTGGTTTCTGAAAGAGGGCGAAGTAAAAAGAGACTTCGCCGTGTTTTCAAAGCGAGCCTTCTTGAACGTGAATTCAACAAGTTAGCCGTTTCTCTTTAGGAAGACAGGCCTTTAAGAACGGCGTGCACCGTGTGAGATTCGCGAGAAATCTAGATTAAAGGAACAAGGGCCGCCAGTAAAGCCAGCTTCGACACCGAACCCTCCTCCTGCTTTTCCATGGCTTTTGCCTCCTTTCCACGAGACGAGTATTCCACAGAGGAAATTCACTTGATGTTTTCTCGTCCCTGCAAGGTATCGCGGTTTCCACGATAAGGCGTGCCGATCAGACGTGCCAAATGGAAAACTTTATCGAAGGATTCGTACGCCTAAAACTCAAAAATACCAATTTCCTGTGAAGCCTCTCGATGTAAATGGGACGCGACGTTGTGTTGGTAAGTCGGTTTCAAAATTTATTACGCGTAAAGTACACACTATGCGAGCTGCGAGGAGAAAATTTCGAGGGTGACTCGTTTCGTGTTTTTCTTTCGTTACGACTTGCCGTCCGAAGTATACGTATAATATCGAATAATATTTGTCTTGCGACGGAACTTTAATCTCACGATCCACGATAGTTGGGAACGAAGGCAAAGATCGCTGCTTTCTTTGATTCATTTATCTGTTTTCGTCTACATCGTTTCGCTAGTCAAACCGTCCTTGAAGAGAAACAGAGTACAGTTCTCCTTTCGCCGGTGATGAAACCGGCCAGATAGTGATTCTATGTAAACATAATACCATTTTCATCATCCGGCCGATCGTACCACAATTCTTTATCCGTATATCTTTTTATCTAGTGTCTGAAGAAAAGTGCCATCGGTCATCGTTGCTCCATGACACGAAGCAAATAGAGGAAAATTCATCGCGGTAAAAGTCACGCGTGGCTACGTGATCATTGCAAAATCTGGCTCATACCTGGAATCTGAACGGGAGCAGACCCTGGGACGCTTCAGCGGATGACATCGTGTATCATTGCCGTAGCTTCGCCTGCAGGCGTTGCGGTGCTGATCCAGGATGGCTTGTTCTCGTGCTACGTGACCCAACAACGAAGACCCGGTTCCACCCGTGGACGATTCAACGGGAACGATTAAACCGTCGGATCATTAGCGGAGCTCAGAGAGACACGGGACGGTCAGCGGCGTAGCGTTTTCATCGCTTTAACGCCGGCCGAACCGGCGACGAGCATTATCGGGCTAGACACCTACCAGAAATACCATTAGCGGTCATTTATTTCGAACGAATACCCAATCACGACGGCCGATAATATGGTGTCGGGCACGTTTTAGCAGTAGCCGAAAGTACCGACCGCCATCTGGCCAGCCTCGTTTTTCGGTCGACGTATTGGAATTTAACGAATGGGAAAGGCTTCGTCCGTGACTATTCTAAAGGCTAAACGTCTTTACTATTCACTTTTGTTTGTTTGCTTTTACTGTTCATTTTTAATCCATCTAGTTTTCAAGGTAAGAATCCAACAATATGTGATTACATTATAAGAGAATTGAATATAAAATTATTAAACTATTCAGAAAATGAGAAGCTAAGTGTAGATTTCAATGTTTCAATGATACAATTTTTAAATTGATACCATAAATGTTTTAATTGGTATGAAAATCTGCAGTCTAATTATATGATATTATGTATATAATTACAAGAAAAAAAATTTTTATCTACAAAGTCTGGAAACAGTACAGATTTCTATTACGTGTGTTTGCAATAGTGTAATCGTCATGTCTGTTTCATTTCTCCTTTAGTAGAAAAGTCTCTTGTTGTTCGTTACTGTGGAGTAGAATTGCCGTTCAATAGACTCGAGCACTGTAGAATAATCTCAGTTTTTGAAATGAATGATGAAAGAGGGAGGCGTAATAGTGAATGGAACAGGTTTACACCAACAGCTGTCGGGATTATATACGCTTTCAGGAAGTAGGTTTCCGTTTGAAGAGTCGGAACTTCCGACTACGGCCAGTTTATTGCGAAATGAAGAGTTGAACTTAGTGTGGATAGCGCAGCGTTTCGAGAGACAGGTTCCTTGGCGCACGGATAATATTCGACGGTAAGCTTGAAAACGATCTTTGAAGGAAATTCGGAATCGTTCGTCTTCGCGGAAGAAGCTCGCTTGTTGAATAGGGGCTTTTGCGGGTAACTTGCCCAACTACACTCGAATCTTGTAATCGTTTAGGTGAAGTATAGAAGAATAGTTGGAACGAGGACTATCATCACGGAATCAGAAAGCTCGAGGAATAATAATCTCATTGTAATAGATAAAATAGGTATAAAAATGCATGCTGTTTTATATTCCCTGAGGTACACCAAATAACTTGCTTATTTCAGAAAAATAAAAATACCATATACTTTTATACCCACAACCCACTGTAATCTGAACTATCTTATCTCTCATAAAAATGCTATACGAAAATTAGAAGAAAAATGTTTATTTTAGATTTCAGAACAGACATTTTGCTAAACGCAAACGAGATTGGTTACTTTCTAAATAAAATATTTCACTTTCTCGAGCTGTACTAATTGATTTTTCGTTTCAACGGCAAATGAATGAGTTTTCAGAAATAATCTGAATGAAATAAGATAAATGTTCCAATGTCTGTTCACGTCACAACTCACTGGCGTATATTTCTATAAATTTGAGATAACGTTTAAAATTATAGAAAAATACGCAGGCGAGCAGAAATTGTGAAGTGAACAGAAATTGGGACATTCACCTTAATTAAAATTAGGAAAAGCCATTAAACGTTTATCAGGATTAAATTTAGTTTCATTTCGGCATCAACATTTCAAATGCATTTTTCAACCATTCATTCGATTATTCCTTCATCCAGAATTTCAAGCGTTTTGATGAATTTATTATAATTATTTTATAATATGCATTTCTTCTATTAAACCATCTGAATAATAAATGAAGCTGTGGCTTTTGATATATTTTTAAGCAAAAAATTATATTGCATACAGAATAACAAAATATACAATCGAAATAAGAAGCGATTTTTTAAGATGACATCAATTAGGCGACTCGATTTAAATAGTCTACACGTTGAAAGGAGAAGATTATGTACCCAGTTAGAATTCAGTGATCTGGTATAACGAAAGTGGTCGGCGAAGGAAAAGGTCAGCCGTCCATTTAGTTCTTAATCCTCTCATCGAGTTCCAATTAATATATGTCGACGATCGTTATTTAACATTCTGAAGGAAGGGAAGGGACGGATTAATTGATCAGTAAGTTGATAATCGGAGTGCACGTGGGGATCTTGCAAGATCTCTTCCCGTTTCTCTTTCCTGGCCGAACCACGCATTAAGGAAGTCATCCTACGGGGATGAAATACATATTTGCTGCAGCACGTTGGGAATTTTTGCAGGTCGATAAGGCGGCGGCGGACTGAATTGGATCCGATAAGAGGATCAAGAGGAAAATTTGTGACCGTGCTTAATAGACGAAATGAAAAGTAAATAGGACGAGTACGGGCCGCGCGTTTATACCACGGGAAGTATTTTTTAATGGAAATGTTTTCAATCGAAATCCGCGAGACGATATCTGAAAATGGAATATTTCCTGCCCGTACGGTTCGGGAAGAGTGCAAAGCTTTACGAGAATATACAAATTCCATAATCTTTCCTTTCAACGGTTTCGACATTCTTTCATAGATTTTATTACACTTCTCTTTCGCGATTTCAATTCATAATTGAATTTTAATCAAAGTTCCCGTGTGTAGCATTATTTATGCTTTTACATTTCTTTTCAATGGAAGTTGAAATTGCGTGCAGAAAAATGGTACGCGCTATGACACCTTATGTAACGCGTTACGTTGGAAATATTAGAGTATTTCTAGCACATGGTGCAAGATAAAGGTGACCCTGTTAACGACCTTCCCTAATGCAACGTCCTTCCGCTCTGCCAGGCGAGGGTTATCATGCTCGATAAACCAATAAATTTTAATAATCGCCGGCTAGAAGGTGAACAAAAGGCTGATCGATCGCAGTAAGCGTACATTTCTCTTATTCTTACGACACCGTGCCAAGAGTGGCATCGAAGATTTCTGTGGAATCTTTACAGCGATACGAAGAGAAAGAAGCTTCAATTTCTCCAGCAGTGATTCCTCCAATTTATTATATGCATTCCTCCTGTCGTATTACCATTGTTGAAGAGTATCAATGGAAATAGTCACATAAAATTCTTGATTATTCCTGTATTTCATTAAGAGATGTACTATATGAATTTTTCATTTGATGGTGCTTACAGAATTAATTCATTCATGCACTCGGCAAAAAGCAATTCATTTTTATGAAACATTTTATTAAAGTTATTAAACATTATGCGATGTGCTTGGCATTAATATAAAAATGATAAATAATGGTGATACGACGTGAGGACATAATATAAATGGATATGCGTGTTTTTATATATCACCGTCTACGGTTATAAAAAATAACGATGTGATAGAACGTAGTGGATCGTTTATCGGCCGATAATGTCTCTCCGATTTCCGTGACGAATTCGGCCACAAGCGAGAGATCTGCGAGCGAAGGATTCAATCTGTCGCAGGATCAGATCGACTTTTTCACGGAATCAGAGGCACGACAGAGAGAGCGAGAGAGAGGGGGAGATTCCGATAAAGAGAGTCAGAAAGCAGCCGAGTTACGGGCCACGAAATTTCGATGCGTGAAATTGAATTCGTGACGGTCTCACTCCGAGGTGACGATCAGTCGCTGTCGGTTTCTTCGCGATCCCAGTTTATTTCCTGGACCAGAACGGCCATCGAACTGCGTTACGTGCAACGAGACATTAATCAACCATCATCGTTTCAAGAGCATCTAGAAATTGTCAGGATTCGGGATCAAAGTAATATAAATGTGACTTATCTCCGAGAGGATAGTCCTGATCCGAAAATCGATCTTTACTGCCAAAGTACGTTTACGTTCGTTGGTGAAATACTAAAACGAGTTTCTAAGAGATCGTAAAAATGCCCACGCTGATCATCCAGAAGATTTTCCAATTTGTTTCCATCATCGGGTCTACGGCCACTTTCTCTTCCTTTATCTTCGTCACCTTTTCACTAAAAAACCAACGTTAATCCCTGCCATATCACCCTTTCTTTTTATCAGTCCGTTCCCCCTAGGGTATTATGCAAATCGAGGAACGAGAATTGCATCACCTTTTCCGCCTTTCCCTTTTCTGCTCCTCTCGCCAATGATTGGTCGAGAGAAAACTGTAAACGAGTTTCGGAACCCGAACGTAGCTGTGTGTCAGTGAACCTCCGATCGGTAGAAACTCGATCATCCTGAGGTCTAGAAGATCCAAGGGGAAACAGTATAATCCATGAGCAAATATGGAGGATAGGATGAGCATGTTTGCTATCGGCATCCTAAGCCGCGAATAATGAGAGGATCCGTTTAGGGCGACGAAAATTTCTTCCCATAATCCTCGTGCACCATCTTCATCTTCGTATCGAATCAACCCGAAACGAATCGATCCTTCTTCCATATAATACGAACGTCGAATCCAGAGTAACCCAAAAGAGACGAACCGGAGGATCGACATAACACAAGGGCAAACGAATTCGCAGCTCCAGATTTAAAGACATAGAAACGAACGGCCACTGTGCGAGCTCGAGCAACAAGTTATACACCATAACAAGCGTACCAACAGTCTACAGGTCTATCGTTCACTCAAATGATCGATTTGAAAAGAAACTGCGGACGCGATGTTCGCCGGCCGTTCATCGATCCACGCGATCCTTCCGAAGTTCAGCCAAGTCCACCGCGATTCATCTTCGTGCAGTCAACCACGCATTCAAGAGTGAAAAGCAATTAAACGAAACGATACGGTTTTCGGAGCAGGGAAGGTAGGGGTGTTTGTAACAGGTGAACCGAGGGATGTACCGTGGTTTACGCGTATACGTCGCCGAGCCACGATCCAGGTTGTACCCGATCGAAATCGATCCCGAACACGAATCGCACAATGGTCGCCGATGCGTCGTCGCGTAAACACGGCTATCGATATCCGGCCGACACCGATGAAGAACGGTGCGATGTTCGAGCGACCCGGTAGTCCGGAGCGTCCGGAGTACCGTGCCAGTACTGTGGAGTTTGTTATCGAATAGCGGCGAGAGGAAAAGCGGGCAGGGTGGTGGCAGCTCCGCTTGGCTGACAAGTAGACAGGGATGGTATTACGCAGGCGCTAACTCTCGGCTCGCCTCACGGCAGCCTTCCACCCCCTCGACAACCCCCGTAAACTTGAGTGCTCGGTCGCCCTACACGGCCAGCGATGCCACCTACACCATCGCCCGTCCTTTCGAACACCGCACCTGTTTCTCGGAGATGTCCTGCTCGCGCGAGTGGTCTACGTGATTCTCCGGCGTAACGACATTGAGTAAAATGCTCCTCGAATATTTATTATTTAAACGTGCTGTTGCTAAGAAGTTTATTTAGCCTAGGGACGTGTTTTCTAATATCGTTTAAAAATGTTTACATTATTCTCAAACTATTCGTGTCACACCAAATCAGATTCAAATTCAACCACAGGAATTATATCGAACTAATACTAGTGCTTCGTTTTTATATAGAAATATATGTCTCCTATAAATGTATAAAATTCTTAGTCTATTTATTAATAACTTCAGCAGCGGATATCAGATAGAAAGTTTCATGATCTTGTGTTCGGCACGGAAAAAAGTAACGAGTTGACGAGCAACAAAATATCGTGGGATATCAAGAAAGATCTAAATTACTGCCTCTTCCCGTTCGAATAGGAGAAAGAAAGAGGGAGAAACGAAGAAAGCGATCGAGCTCGGATTCTTCGAAGAATTACAAGCACCGAATCAACTCCCGTCACCAGGAACGGTTTTCCTTGGATACCCCGAGGCGCACGGTCCGTCGACTTTTCCGCGCTCTTCCATCTTTCTCACAGCCAACGTTCAAGATTCTACTGCTCGTTCTAACAGACGGGCTTCATCGCAAACGGCGCCGATGCGAATCCGACTTTTTCCTATTTGCGATGCGTTTCCACTTCTTAACGAACTCGTTCATCCATCAGCCGCAAGATGAAGAGGCATTCATCGAAAATCTTTGAAATATCTACCAACAATTTACGTACCGACAATAATTACGCTAATGATCGATTCATGTTGCGAACGTATGAAGAACAAGGTCATAGTACAAAATACTGTTATATGGAATGATATATATAATTATGTATCGAAAAAGTACGTGGAAATTATTGGAACAAAATTGAAGCACTTTTTTACACTGTGATTTTATTTAATAAAATTATTACCATTTACATCTTCCAATTATTATAAGCTTATACATCGATTTCTGTTTCGCCTTCATAAAATAAAGCACCCACATATTGCGATAAGATATAAGAAAAACTTTTGTCCATTTCTTGGTGAAGACTTTTTTGACCGAGTCTCGTAGATAAAATTTGTATATCTCGTCTGTGAAATTTTTATCATCATCTGGCAGCTTAAATATGTGAACGCATGTACACTCAGCTTTCATCGGAAGGATGTGCAGGAAAGTAAAATTTGGTTAAACCGGAATTTGATTAAACAAATATTCCATTATATTGAAATTCTATGCGGAACAAACTCGTTGAAATTCGTCATGTATTAATAAGATATACGTAGAATACTGTGTTCGTATTAAAGAGAATCAAAAGTCCTTGTTTCATCGTGATATACGTGTGGAGTTGATCCTTTTGATTTTTGTTCCTGCTATAGACGAACAATTGGCCTGCTCTCTTTTTCAAAGTAATCTAGATCTTCTCTGAATCAGTATTGAAGATCAGTTTTCGAGTCACCTTCAATCAATGCAACAGACAATACTTATTGTTTCAAGTTTAGTACATTGTACTTCTAAAAGACATTATCTAATATCAAATAATTCATCTTTCCCGATACATTTTTTAAACAAATCCGTAATCAACTAAAAATATTTCCGTGTCTCCTTGCATGAAATTGATTTTGGTTTATAGGAACCCTCTAACTCGTAGAAACCTACACCAATCCTCACGCATCCGCTTGAAACTTGCACCAATCACCTCCAATTCATAGTTGTCCCGGTCGAACTCGTTTGAAATCACGGTACCCCCTAGATAATATGGCGAACAAATCTTCAACTTGACTGTAACATCTTAGATTCGTTCGGATCCATCCTGCTCGCTCACAATCTTGTTAAAACTGGCTGGCTGATTTCTGCGAATCTTTATTGCGCGAACTAATATAACAAACATGTTCATTTCAAAGAATTCTCGGGTTATAAAGCAATCGATTAGCACACTTAATAAAACAATATAATAAAACGGATATTTTGCAATCTTTTTTCAATGGGACAATTCTAGTTTTTATACTGATTTTGCGACGCCGTATTTTTCTGAGAAACTCGAACAATGACGGAAAATGGTACAATGACGAATGCTCAAGTCGATTTAATTATTGAAATTGTAGTTTGCCAATAAGCGGCCTCGATTCACGTCCGATGCATGTTTACCGATTATATACATATTCATCGAACCCAGTGGGCCCGACCTGCTTGTCTCTCCTCGGTATCCGGAGAGATCTAACATGCGCGAGTAATTTCCGTGATTATAAAATCGGGGACGAGCGAATCGGCTTTCCAGCTGACAAACTTCGCCCTTCTCGCGGTTTCGACGCGACGCAATTTCTCTCTCTCTCTCTCTCTCTCTCTCTCTCTCTCTCTCCCCCTCTCTCCCTCTCTCTCTCTTCAGTACTCTCGCAATACACGACAACACTTTATCGAGCTATGTAGGAAGGAAGCATCGCCGTCGACACTCGATTTTTACTCAGTTCGCTGAGGTGTCGAGGGAAATGAAATTTACTGTAGACTAAACGATCGACGACAATGGGGAAACGGGAATGGGGCGACGTTGTTCGAGCGCCTCGATTTTGCACACCGCTGCGAACGCTCGCCAAGAGACAACGTTGAAACATGTACCAGAGACCCATGCCTTTCTGTTTCGTTGCCTGCCGCAATGAAACACGTCCTGTTCTTTGCTTTTTATTTCCCGTCAAAAGAAAACGAGCGACGGGTTTTTACGTTTTCATAAAACACATATACGGTTTTTTTCTTATAATGAAAGCGTATTTTTATAATAAACAGTGAACTAACTTACATGTGGAACCTGCGCGTGTACCGAATTTCAAGTGCAGTGAATATGAAATGTCGCTCAGTTTTCCAACTCTGAAGTTTCTGAGAGGAAACCGTTTATTTATGAATCACTTGTAGTATGGTACAGTGAAATCTATTTGCGTGTTTATTTGAGGAATTCACCTGGTCCACTTGTCCATCTGCCCATTCATTCCCTCTCATTTCGCCTTTTTCTATGACCCTAATTAACAACAAATGGTAGAGCCGATCAGTTATGAAAGCTCCCAATATATTCTATTCATTAACAAAACGATAAATCAATAGCATCGTTTAGTTCGGATGAATTATTTTATTTCATTTTTTTTTCAGCAAGGAAGTAGGACGTGCGTTTTCTTCCGTATTGATAAACTGGTCAGTCTCGTAATTCTCCCCGGCTTAAAATCGTCCTCTTCAAACAATCAACAGCGCACGACCATTAAAAAAAAAGGAATAGGGAGAAGTAAAAGTATGATAAATAGTAAAGCGTATTGCAAAACCATTCTTATCTCCATTTATAATAAATATTGCATTTTTCTACTTGCTACAGACCCAATAGTTTTATTAATGCATTCAACCACCGGGATAAGTCTCGGGCGAAAAATGATGGCGATGGTAATAAAACTGGCATATGTGCAGGTTTTAGAGTTTATATCATTTTTAAAGCGACTGGGAATAACGTTTACCGGGTGCCGGAATTGTTTCGATACGGCGCTGGGATGAGGGAAATAAAGCCAGCAACGAGATCTTTACAGCTTAGGCCGCGTATCCACTTGTATCATACCCTCGAATCGTATCACTGCTTCATATTATTATAAACGGGTAAGCGCTGCATCATTATGATCCTTCGTTTAGAAGTCTTATAACAATTCCATAAAAATATCTGATAATCTAAATTAAAAACTATCAGAGACTATCTCATTTGCAATATTGTATTAAATCATTAAATAAATTATATAGCCGTAATCATACAATAAGTCATGAATTCTTTATTACCAAATCACAATACATTTTTATGAAGTTCCTTAATTGAACACATGGCATACATGCAACGATGATACGACAAGATAATGTAATACCTGTGAATACTTACCTTTAGAGACGATGAACGATACTCGTTCTACACGAGACGACGATTTTCATAAAAGTGCATATGGAAAATCTCGCGCCGGCATTCGCCGCCCATGATAGTCGAGAAAATTGGCGAGGAAACTGAGGTAACTTCCGATCGAGCATCGCGCATTTGCAAGTAGCGGAAATCCTTTCGCTGGCAGGCAAGTTTCTTCGATGTTGGAAGTCTTGGATACTTTTTAAACTTGCGACGCGACGCGTGTTACGCCACAGGCGAGCGCCAAACTTACAGCACACGGGATCCAACGGTCTCCGGGAAAGGGTCGCTCAAGCACATGCCCCGTGCACTGACGTTTCCTAATGTAACGTTAAATTGAAAAATATTTCAAATAACGATGCACAATTTCCGTAAGGAGTAAAAGGGGATGTCTTCTGTAAAACGTGATTTGGTGCGTTTCAACTTGTATGCAAAATTCTGTACAAGAGGTCGACAGGTGCTACAAAGCATTTGTTAGCTATTATATTTAAAGCTCCAGGTTTTTTCAACAACTAAGAAATAATTTTAACATCAATCAATAAATCTAGGAAAAAATTCCGAAGATGACACAGAAGAGAAACACAAAAAAATTATTTTAATAATCTTCTCAATTAATCAAGAAATTCTGAAAATAAAGATTGCATCAATTAAGGAATTTTAGAAGGACAAAAGAAATCTTATAAGGAACTGATTTTTATTGAAGTAGCTGAATCTACTAGTACGTTAGAAATGGAATTTCAGCAGTAGAGGGAAGAGTTCCATGACGATTTTAAAATCGTACTATGTGCAAGGGAATATTAATAAGGGTCACATTAGAACGGAGCGAGCCGC